TACTACCACTCCAAAGGCTCATCATCTTACTACCACTCCAAAGGCTCACCATCTTACTACCACTCCAAAGGCGAATTAAGAGAATAGTAAGTTCAAGAGACTTTAAGATGTCGATTTTTATAAATATTTTAATGAGAAATTGAGTTACGGTGATTGAATAATATAATAAATAAAAAATACATATTATTAGACTTACACTTGCTACAGTAGTGGTTGTAGGAGTCTAAATAAATTTAAATAAAACATTTAATTAAGTAACAATCAAAATAAAATTTACAGGTTTAGCAGTTAACGTAATGCTGAAACAATTAACGTATATTTGGTCGAATGATTGGACGATTGTTGCTCTAAACAGTGATTAGATATGCCTGTTACGTAAAATAAATAAAGTTCATTTACTTGATAACAGTAGAGTTTTCGATTATAGTTGATGGTGGATACCAAAGTGCTTCTATTGATGATTTATCAGAGGGTGAGTTATGAGTTATACCAGTATTGTCTATTCCACCACAGTTAAGTGTTCGAATATCTGAACCTAATGCTGACCAAGTTCCAATAATATTTTGATTGGTTTTTGTTTTTGCTATTAATAGAATACCTCTAAATGTATCAGAATTTGTTGAACCACGAACAGTAACTATGATTGAAAAAAAAAACATTATTTGATGAAGAAAAATTTTCTTAATTATACTCACTATGAACCGTATCACTTTTCAAATATTGTACTTTGTCGGATTCAATTATATAGCTGGATGAACATGATTGGGAAGAAACACCGTGCTGAGGCATCATTGATTTGCATGCAGACGATGGTGCACCAGATGAATAACTGTGTCCAGGTTTAATAGATATCGAAACGAAGATGAGCAAATGATAAATGAACGAATTCATCTAGAATAGATTCTTCAATGACGACCACGTCTTGCTCTTAAAAGGTCATATGAATATAATTAAGTAGAGGTGTAAAGCGATGCATTGATCAATAGCAGCAGCTGAGATTTTAATTACGAGAAACTTTTATATGCAAAAATGGGAAAACAATGGTAGAGAACTTATTGACCAGAAATCATATGGTGACATCTTCAAAAACTGATTAGAGACGTCGAAAATTTTTAAAAGTCAAACACCTACTTTTGTGTCATGGTGGCAGCTAGTTAGTCGATCGGCTTCCATCTCTTAATAAAATATGTAACAGTCTTTTATCCATTTATCTATCACAGTACAGTAGAATAAATTTTGTTGCTTTTCGATCAATAGATCATCTAGACGATATTCTCTAAACCTACTATGATTACGCTTATGAATTTTTTTCCATCAGAGCTGGACGAGTCAAGCTATATTATTTTGACCCTTTGTTTTCATTTTCTGTTTCTTTACACAAAGAACATTAAAAACAAGTTTTTCATGACACAATATATACTTCTTGGTCGTAATGCATGAAAAATATTAGATTAATACTACATAAAATAAAATGACATTACAACAAGGGAATACTTACAGATCTAGAACTGCCAGCACAGTTTGCTACTGAAATTTATTAGCGCTATTCATAGTACTGAAAAATAAGGTAAAACTTTAGACCAGAACTATGATTGAAAGTAATACTACTGAAATCAGGTTTTCATGATGTAGAGAAGAATGCTTGGAGACAAAAATGATTTTTTCTAAAATTTGACTAACAGTTTGAGTGATTTAACGAATACGAATCTGTAGATGGGTTATTGAAATTAGAGATATTTAGAATAAGCTCCTTCCGCGCCTTGTACTCTGACTAAGAAAAATGTACTAGCTAATACCATAACGTGCACATTTCCAATCGAAAATGAATTCGGAAATTTCAACAAAACCACATATAGATGCAGATTCGTCGATCATTTCAAACCTTCAATAAATTTTTACAAAAACTCGTTATTTTCTCTAAATAAATCACAATGCAAAAGTAATGACACACAATACCGATTCTTATATTTCTTCATAGACATGACTCTGGAAAGATCTTTTTTACCATTCAATACAAAAATGTCTCCACTTTTGAACTATATATGACTTATTTTTGTTAGACATTCATCAACAAAACAGCATGAGAAGAAATAGAGACACTCTAAAAGCAGGTCTGCACTTTTTGTGCACTTCAAGATAGCGACACAAAATATCGACTATCAGGTCTCTTTTTTAAACAAGTGTTAAAATGATAATTTATTTTTATCAGCTGATGCGAAATTTTCTCGTTTATAATAGTATATAATTTGTATTTGTCATCGTTCATAAATGAAATGGCACAACGGAAAAAAAAGAAATATTAGTACAAGAAGTGTTTGATCTCATCATTAATTTATCGACGAAATTCTGTATATCAACTGGAACACTAATCGAAACAGTTTTGGTTTTATTGACAAAGTGTATGAGAATAATTGAAAAACTAAAAACTTAAAGTTATTAGCCTCTATAATCAAGCAAGAGATCAAATAACTTGGTAAAACTACATTACAGGCTATAGGTCACGGCGTTTCGAAAAATCTTCATTACATATGGCGTGGGAAACTGAATTTCGTTGTTAAACGAAGACTTTTTGTCGTTCATGCTTTTTCTAAAGAGAAATCAAATTTCTGTTCTCTTGTATTAATAGGTGACAGCGGCTGATATATCTGCTATCATCTTGATATCATATTTCAATCAAATTAAAAGATTTCTTCGCCATAATCAATAAAAAGATAAAAACTTTCTTGTACGAATATTCTTCTTTCCTTTGTTTCATTTCGTTCATGAACGCATGACAGATACAAATTATAAGCAATTATAAACAAGAAAAAAATTCCTATTAGCTGATAAAAACAAATTATCGTTCTAACACTTGCTGAAAGAAAAGATATAATAGTCAACATTTTATGTCGTTATTATGAAATGTACAAAAAGTGCAAAACTATCTTTCAGGTGTCTCTATTTCTTGTCATGGTGTTTTGTTTATGAGTGTCTAATGAAAATAAACCGTATACAGTTCGCAAGAGAAGAACATTTCATATCGAGATGCAGAAAAATTTCTTTTTAAAGCCGCGTCTATGAATAAATATAACAGTTGACATTGTATACCATTACTTCTGCATCGTACGCTAGTTTTTCCTGGATCGAAAAAAACTACGTTTGAACAGTATTAATCTCGCTTATCTATAATCATAATTTCGATCTTAATTTTCAAAACTATGAGCACCGAAGTATCGTTTTAGCGCCTGGGTGCCCTTCCAATGCTTAAGTACCTTTTCACCGCTGTCGAATATAATTTGGTGTCTTGGCGCTGAATTTACCTCTTCCTACAACTGTTAGAAATTTACCAACAATAAAACCAACCCGTCTTTCATGCCATTTTAAAGCAGTAGAAAGAAACATCATCTTTAAAAACAAAGACTTGAGCTTAAAACTGTTTATAGCGGAGGAAGGTGTAGGCGATCAAGTAATATATTCACTATACATGTGTGATTTATATATCCATATATAATATTCTTCATTTCTCTGTCATCTCGTTTGTTTCTTTCGTTGATGATATTTTCCCATTCTCTTTTCACTCTTCTCTCTCTTGTCCTTTTCTCTCCCTTCATCTATGTGAACTAAACTACGTTTTCGTTTTCCAACTTGGAAATGAAACTCGTAACATCTATTTCCAAGTTTTTCTTATTATGTAAGTGGGAATAAGCTCAGGAACCGTCGCTCTCTCTTCTTTACTATATATAGTTGCGTTTTTCTTAAAATAAAGATAGATTTTCGTAAGACGAAAAGAATATCTCTTTGACTAAATCCATAAAGGCTGTAACAGAAGGTTACCTGTTACGGGTAATGGAATAACAGAAAGTTCGTGGATCTGATTCTTTGTTCAGAAAGTAGCCTTTTGGAGGAAATCATGATTCTCTGTAAACTGTGATCGAAGGTTTTCTGATTCCTCGATTCCAAAAACTTTTCACCGAGGTTTACAAGAAATTCTAATTTTCACCAAATAGCTATTTCCTGATGAAAGTATCAAATCAACGAATTTTCTGTTATCTCGTTACGTGATAACTGGTAGCGGTAACTTACTAGTCCTAGCAGTGTACGGACAAAAATTGTTTATTAACGTCTAAATTAATGTCTAATTATACTTCATAGATGTTGAAAAAGGAAATATGTGATTGTGAAAATCTTCAACGGAGCGATCTTATTAAACGACTACTGTGAAAAAGCGCATACTCTAGTCATACTGATGTAGAAGGAAAATACATAATTCTTCTAATAAGGTTGTTGAGAGATTGAGGTGAATTATTTTGTTTTTTTGAAAGCAGGCCACCGATTATGTTTTCTTGCTGCAGAAAAATATCTATATCCTCTTAAAAAAAAAGACAATTTTAGTGCTAAATTGTAAATTTTTGCTTTCTTAAATCATGACTCAACTCAACGTTATTCAATTTTCGAGTTCGAGTCTTGATTCAGACTCGCACATCTCTTCCTTCTCTCCAGTATTTCAGTGCTCCTCTCACACAAAGAAAACATTTCTTATTCATTCCATAAGATCTTAATTTTATATGCCATAACAAGCAATAAGAATAAGAAACAAATAATCAGAAGGATTTCTCTTTTAGAAAGCAATAAAAAGCAGATCTATCCATTGATCAAATGAAATAAATTCCCAGAGACATCCTTCTCTCTATCTTTGCATTTTTATCGAACAAGATCTTTCTTTCTGACTTACATTTTTAAAAAACTCTAATATGCAAACACTGATAGAAGCATCAATTTACCTTTGTAAAAGATCAAAATCTTGGTCAAGAATAACTACAAAAAGAAAAATCAGTCACTGTAGAAAATATTTTCTGTGTAACAAGAGAGAAATAAAATATACTTTGTGTGTATGTCTGGATTGTTTACAAATGATTTATGCTCTGTCGATTACAATTTAGCTAAATATATAGCTTTTTTTCATGACTTTCTTTTTTTTGCGTTGTACTTTTAATCATTTTATCTCGCCTAATTCTTAGTCAGCAATTGTGAATATCATGTTTTTTTGAATGTGTACATACACATTTATAATCCATTATATAATGTGCTTTTATCTAACATAAGCAGGGTAATATTTACAATAAACAAAAACGATTCATAAAAAACAAGCTACGTGGCGTATGAAACCATTATATTTCAAATTTTTTTTCGTAAGAATACATTTTTTTTCTTCATTCTAAATCATATAATATTGTGATAACAGAGAAAAATATCTGATTCATAGGTAGAAATAATAATATAACAGACTTATTTTCAAGCAATAATATTATTGTCACATACCTAAGACACTAGTCAATGATGCTTTTTTTTGTTTTTTGACTAACTTTTCTTCTCCTTTTTTGCGCTTGTTTTATCTGTTCGAATAGGAGAAACAAAGAGATAGAAAATACAACATCATCAATGATAAAATACACAACGTGTTGTTAGTTAGCAATGAGCACACATGGCAGACAATGTTCTGTTTCTAATACTTTGATTAAAGGTTGAGCGTAAAAGTAGCATTATTTTTAATATTTATTTAAAAAAATAAAAACACATAAAAATGTAAACAAATCATTTTTTCATACTGAATTAAATCTAATGATTACATACAAAAATGTAAGATAATCAATGAAAAATACTAACTGATTTTATATTTCATTTTACTTTGTGATAACTTACTATCATCATACAAATCAGCAATTATCGATTGTTCAGGTCAATACATGGTTAATGCACAAATTACTATAATAACATTGCTAAGAGTAATATAATGTAACAGTAAAAGTCGTCTTCGAGTACCGTAAGCTATTTATCACAGATGATGTTCGCAAATTTGGATATTTGATATTGGTTTATGATGATGTAGGGACAGAGCTGTACGTATTTCCTTATTAGTAATATTTAAATGTTCAATTGTGGGCAGAGCATTCCATTGAAAAAGAAGCATAAGGTCGTTTGAATGCTGAATACTTAAAGTTAATTATACTCTACTGTTACAGTGATGTCGCACGTATACATGCTCGATATATATATATATGATCCTCTATTATCTATCATCTTCTTTGACCTTGAACTGTTTTCTCTTCTCTTCTCTTCTCTTCTCTTCTCGCTCTCTCTTCTTCTCTCTATATGTACATGTTACGATTATAACTTAAGGACATTCTTGTTAAATAAAGTTAGCGTACAAGCATACGCACACCAAAGATATACAACTAACCCTAACAATTCGCGACCCTGCAAAACAACACCAAAGCACAAAAAAAAAATAAATAAAAATCATCATCACCAAGCAAGAATCAATCATTAATTAATCCCATCAAATTATAATTCAATTTTAGCAGAACCTCTCGTGGAAAGAGACTCGTATATATATTCATATAAAAGCCTCTTGATATAGAGACTTGAAGTTTTTTTGAATATATTATATTATTTAATTGATATTTAAACATCATATTTCATCAATAGGTGAGAGAATCTTTTTCTAATCAATGATATTATACATTCAAGGACTATCAGGAATACTTTTGAGTAAACCGTATATTTTTTAAATTTCAAACAAGAAATTGATATTACAAAATTTTTTTTTTTCGGACATTTAATTCTAAATTAGAAGGAGGAGAAATCAACATAAAATAAATCATAGAAATTTCTTTGGTTGAATAATTGTAAACAGAGATTCTAAGAAGAATTTCGTTCATATTTTTTTTTGCATTCCATTGATTCATATACCTATTCACTTGCATTGACATTGATCATTATAATTATAATATATTCATAACGGCTACGGGAACAAGATTGCAAATTAAGAAAAATAATACAAAACTATTATCATACACAATACTTACACATTCATTATCTCGTACAATATCAAGATATAATCCTTCAATAAGTTCAATATCACATACAAATATAAATCAAATGACTGATTCAACATTATTAGCTAAAGCTCGAAAAGCTAGATTTGATGATCTACCAAATTTCTCTGGACATCCTTCTGAGGATGTCGAACGTTTTTTAAAAAGCATTAAAAATATTACGAAGGCTAATGATGAATCAGACAACCATGAAATTCTCGAAATCGTTCGTGGCAAATTAATTCAATCAGCAGGATTATGGTTTGATAATCATGAACATGATTTCAAAAAATGGTCAGATTTTGAAATTGCATTTCGAAATCGTTATTTCTCATCAACAATGATTCACAAGAAATTCGATTTATTAAAACAACGAAAACAATTACATGATGAACCGGTTACATCTTATTTTGATGATGTTGTTAATCTATGTAAAGAAATTGATCCACACATGTCAGAACAAATTATAATTCAACATTTAATGAGTGGAATTAATCCTGATTTTCAGAAAGAACTTTCTCGACGTAGATTATCTATGAATACATTAAACGAGTTTTTAAAATATACTAAAATTGAACAAGATTTATATGATACATTTGAAAAATTCCATCGACTATCAATAGATTCTATAAAACCTAATTTTGCAATCAATCATCAACAAATTCCTTCATTGACAAATATGATTGAACCACCAAAACAACAATATCAGTTTATCAATAAAATTAATCCTCGTTCACATTCATTTACAACACAGAGATCCGATTATAAACGGAACTCGAATTATCAATATGAACCTCGATCAACATTTACACCTGACAAAAACAATCAGCATAATTCACACCAACATGAATTTAAATATAAAAATTATATTAATAAACAATTTAGATCACGACAGCCATCATTTAATCAATGTAGAATATGTGGTCGACAAAATCATCGAAGAATTGATTGTTTTCATAAACAAACAACCGGATGTTTTAATTGTGGCCAAAATCATACTGTTCGTGACTGTACAATGCCTCCAAGTTTTCAGTAACTGGGTCACGCGATGGCGGTGTTCCCAGTCAATTTATTAAGCCATCAACAATAACATCTTTTCCCGTTTACATCAAGATTCGTGTTAATGATCAACCAACAGAAGCAATTATTGATACCGGATCTGCTATATCAATCATTCGTTTAGATTTTCTTAAAACCATTCATCACAATAATTTAATTAATCAAACCAGAGCATGTCAAACAGCAAATTCAACACCTCTGAATATTATCGGTCATATTAAATTAGAAATAAAAATTAAATCCATATCGACTTATATCATGGTACATGTCGCGACAAATTTAATTACATCGATTCTTTTAGGTAATGATTGGATTAATTCAAACCATGTTCATCTCTTTGGCGATCAGAATCAATTAACTATTCCTGATCAACATGATCAATTAAATTTTATTCCATATGTAGAACCAACATGCATTAATTATCCAGCTCTATTAGTTCATCAAATTACTATTCCTCCATATTCACAAGCCTTAGTTGATATTACATGTCCAATTAATAATGCTAATGATTTTATATTTGAACCATACGAACGTCATATTCCAAAGTTTATTTTCATACCACACACATTATTGAACATTAAGGCCCCCCCCCCCCCTCAAAAAAAGTGAATTTTCGTGAAAATGTTCGAAATGGAGTTAGATATATCGGGAGATAGCCCGTTTTTCGCTGATTCCGAAATGCTATAGCTTTTTATCAAAAGACCCTTTTTTGACTGAAAGTCATTAGGGTTTCTGTAAGCCCCCCCCTCAAAAAATGTGAATTTTCGTCAAAATTTCCGAAATTGAGTTGAATACATCGGGAGATAGCCCGTTTTTCGCTGATTCCGAAATGCTATAGCTTTTTATCAAAAGACCCTTTTTTGGCTGAAAGTCATTAGGGTTTCTGTAAGCCCCCTGCAGAAAAAATACGTTTTTTTCTGAAAAAAAATGAATTTTAAGGTTTTTTCTAAAAAGTAAACATTTTAATAGATTTTTAAAATATTTTAATAATTCTTATAGAAAAANGTCTTACTAAGGAACATATCGAACTGTCGGACGTCGTTCGACTTCATATTATGGCGACGAGGAGGTCTCGGCGAGACCAAAACAAGCTTCAAAAACATTCGGATCCATAACCCATTGGTGAAGAGTTTTGGGCATTTTAATGAAATTTTTACTGAGAACAAAGCATTGTCGAAAAGTTCCAAACAAAGAGTTTCAATCTGAAATTTTGCCTATAGGCAGAATTGATAGTTATTAAATCGTCGTGAAAATTTCAATGAAAACGAACTTGTCTTACTCAGGGTATTAGATTTCGAAGTAGACTTGATTATGATGTCCTCATATAGTCAACCGCTGCTTTTTTTTCTAAATTGGTTATCTTCAAAAAAGACGGGTTTGGGTTTTGTTAAAACTTCTCGTTTTGAACTTTGTGGCAATGTCTTGCTCTCAGTAAAGAATTCATAAGAATGTCCATAACTCTGTATCAATAGGGCATTGGTCAGAAGCTTTAAAACTTGTCTTTATCTTACTGAGACCTACTTGTAGCCATGATGTGAAATCGAATGATTTCCGACAGTTGAAGGTGTTTTGTCTTTAGCTAAAATATAGAGAGCAGCGGTTTTCACCTTAAGAAAGAAGAGATGAAGACGTATCAAATCATATATTACAAGTTTTTTCGACTTGGATTTTTTAAGGTTTTCAATCGGCCTTTTTGAAAAGCAACGTACACTGTGAGGTGACTTTTCAGTTATTAGGTGTGCGTTCAAACCGTCAATGGAAGATTTAGAAAACTACACAAGCCTTATATTTTTATATTTAGTTATTCAGAAGTCAAAGATACTGTAGTCAAAATTCTCGATCGATTTTTCAAGTGATTACTGTGGAAAAGAATTACATTTTTGAGACACTTTTTATCTCACCTGTTTTTTTTTTTTAAATGAGCATTAGTATTATTAAAACAGCGTCATTCGTTTATTTCCATATGGCTGAACTTCTCTTTTCTAAACTCATTCAATACAGACAGTATACAAATGAGTACCTAGAAAGTGATACTGTAAATTTTCAATGTTTTTCAAGCTTGCTTCTTTTTAGCTCATTTCTATTTAATGAAGTGGGGTATAGAACACTTTAGTTTGATATTTTTTTTTTCTGATTCCATAAATAAACTACTAGAAATTATATTTTTCATTATTGCAGCTTTCAAATTTTATAGTTTAATCGAGTTAAAAAGTTCAAAGACTATGATCAAATTTTCAGTTTCAAATCCTTAGAATAATATACGAATGATAATTTGAAAAAGATAAAAAACCACTTTTTTTCTCACAATGTTCACTATATCTCATGAAAGAAGAGTCATAGGAATGAATGCTTTTAGGACTTTGTTAATCTCACGGAGGCTTAAAGATGAAGTCAAAAGCTCAAAATCAGTCCTATAATATATAACCTCACCTTATAAAGAAAATAAGTTGATTCAACAAATTCCGGTCTTAATGGATGTGACTTCCAATGTATTCTATAATCTGTTGTAAATGCTTCTGGTAGAAATTTATGTTTTTTAACAACTTTATAAAGCATTTCATGTAATTCAATAGCTGATTTTAAATCTCCTGTTAAAACTTGTAAACCAGGCCAAAATGCTAATAAAGCATCCATATGTTGTTTAACTGAACGATATGGTTGATGCATATGAACATTAACCATTGCAACACCACGTTGAACATAAGACATTATAGATGAATAATGTTCTTCAAATCGAGATAAATAATCATTATTTTTTTCACCCAATAAAACATATGCTTTAAATAAATATTCATAATATGAATCAATACCAGCACCAATACCTGATTCACGTACAATCCAATCACCTGAATGTACATTAAGTATTGTACCCATTAAATTTGATTGTCTATGTCGTCTTTCCCATAAATATGACATAGCACGATCAGCATATTGTTCAAATAAATAATTTCCTGTTAAACGTGACAATGTTGCCCATTCTAATATTAATGTACCAGCACATGCTGTACATGTATAACGTTCACGTTCACTTCTCGATAATGTTAAATCAATACCATGACGAAGATTAACACGTGGCAATGGTAAACCACTTGTTGTATTAAATGCTGGTAATAAACGTAAAGCTAAATCATGTGCTAGAATTAATAATTCATCACGATACCAAGATAAACGTGATGGATTATGTAAATGAATATATTTTGCACATATATGACCACCGAGAAGACCACTAAAATAAAGAATAATATGTCTAGAAATGTATGAAAGCAACTTTTATATATTCTTATTCATTTTGATTAATGCATTCTGAAAATTTTTAGTAAATAAAAAAAAAATGAAACTATTAATTTTTTAAAGTTAAAATTGTAGCATAAATCTATGATTAAGCCGAAATATGGAATAATTGAATGAGAAGAGCTTCGTAAATAGTAGAAGAATGAAATATTCTTTATCGTTATTGTTAAATTAGATTTACCCGATCATACGAATATTTGTTTCAAACACAGAAACAATAACATCACGATCAAACGTAACATGTTGAATAATTTGACGAATGGCACGTTCAAATTCATCGAACATTCCAAGAACCTTTAAAAAAGATACTCTTAATTAAAAATAAAAAATAAAAAAATACATATTTTTGATTATATTACCGCTAAAGAATCCAAACTGTCGACAAGTGTTAAAGAAAAACTATATAAGAAAAACAAGATGAAGTTACTCTTCATTTTTAATATATTTTGTATACGGACTTTCCAAGCGCATCATCAATATCACCTCGTGATGGTTCGGAACCTCGATATCGACCTTTACAACTATAGAAATAAACATATAATCATGTCAATTCATTCATTCAGTTAATTTGTTTACCTTAATGGCATTAGTTCATCGGCAGGATAAGCATATTTCTATAAATAAAATACAATAAAATCATATTTGAAAAAATTAATTCAATACCATATATGAACCGAATGCATGTTTAAACATATCAAGAACTTGTAGACGTAGTTGATTTTTTTCTTCTAATTTCATACTAGTCATCATTGGCATAAAGATTAGAAGAAGAAGAGTTGTATGAAAAATTTTTATAGACATTATTTCAATTAAAGTTTGAACAAAAATTTAAATTCATTTACAATAATTTATAACTAAGATTTTAATTTAATATATTGCATATTAATTAACAGAATAACAAAATATTTGAATTAAGAAAATCCAGATTTTATTTTTCTCATATTAAAAAAAAGAAAATCTGGAAAACTCCAAAATTAAGAAAAAAACTAACATATGATTCATTGTCCATCAGTCCATTCATCGTCAAATATTGTAATTTTGCTAAGTTAGATGTCACTATCATATAGATCCATGAATGTATGAAACAAGAATGTGATTATTTTCAGTTCTGAGAGAAAATCTTCAATGTACTATCATCATCAAACGAAGGCTAGAAGAGGCTTTGCATCAGAGCCTCAATGAACTGGACGGAAGCTAGTCGTGTCCAGTCTGATGAGACCTATGCTCAGCATCTCCTACCGATAAGGTACGAAGCACCTTTATAGTACTGTATCATGAGTTTTCTTTCTTTCCTTCTTTATATATTTCTAGCTAGACATATGCATTTAAAGTTGATATTTTGTGTTGCAGTGATCTTGAGAACTGAAAATCAGAAAATATTCGTTGAAACGTTAGGTGATAGTGCTCATATTGAACCGGAAGCACTTTTTTTTCAAATTTTCCCTAAGACTTTCCATTTGCTCACAAATATAGCATCCCAAAAAAGCACAAATTTTTAAAGATCTAGTGTTTTTGTTTTTTAGCTTTTAAATAATTACAATTTTCTCTGCATAAAAAGCAAGAGTTTTACAACAAAGACTTCGTTAGACACTGTAATCTGACATACTTTTTCAGATAATAAAAAAAAAGGTGAATCTATAGAATGTGAAGGCTCATAGAAAATTGTGAGTTACCAAATGAGCTATAATTGATAGTTGTTTGTTGAGTATTTCTTGAAAAAATCTTGGTATAGAACGGAATCTCTCCAAGGATCAAATTGCTTTTTGACCGAGACAATGTTCATTTGATGAATACTAGTCTGCAATAGAAAAGTCTAGAATTGTTTGGTTTTCTTGCTTTTTATTAGATCCATCTGCCATTTTTCTTGGTTATTCGTAGTAAAAAGAGGCAAATGTGTATAGGATGATCAACAAATTATTACATCTTTCAAGCTCTCAAAAAAATTTTCTTCGTCATGTCCGCGGCTTTTTGTTGAGCTCTGTATGAAAAACCTAAAACTACTACTGAAGATTGAAAAATGATGGCATCCATTGAGTGTCAATATTTTCTGACTTTTCATTCTCGAAATTGCAACATAGCATGATATTTTTTGACGTGTGCATCTAGAAAAAAAAAAGAAATGAAAACTCACGACGAATCACTTTGAGAGTGCCTCACACGTTAATGAAATAGCAAGAAAAGTTGGTCATCGCGGCCGCTATCTTTGAAGAAGCGTCTTTATATATGATAATCTTCATTAGAAACATGTGTATGTTCTTTAATAAAGTTCTCGGAGTAATGAATTTCGCCATTAGTACTCTTATAATTGTAGAATAATTATTAAACGTTTATAATCCGGTTTTATTTGATTATTTTAGTGAAGCTAATTTGAATACTTGTTTTCTAAATGATGTAGGTCAACTCGAAAGATGAGTAAGGTCATGGCTAAGTAATGCTATACTTTGCCGATTGATAACGCCTTGATTATTTTCCTAATTTTTTATATAATGGAAAATATGATGTCAGATTTACAATTAAATGTAAAATTTTACAAAAAACTAAATAGTACAGCACCGATCTTATTCACATGTTCCTTGATTTGCTAAATCAACTACTAATTCATATCATTGACGATTTACTTCAGTATTAGGATGTTTCTCAATATTTAATACGAAGAGTTCAAAAGTCAAATAAAGAATTATTGAATGATTGATCAAGTAAATATTTTTGAAATTGATCTACTCGATCTTTTGATTGTAAAAAGCATTTTTATAAAAACAAACTATTGATAGATATTACTCATTATTAACTAACTTGGATTATATCTGACGTTGATTTAACACCTCTTCCATAAAATACTGATCAATTAGTAAATTCTTCTCTTAAGAAAATGATTAGCATTATTTATTTGTTTCTTCTGATGCATTTACTTTATATTCGTCAAATATATTCATATAAAGCAAAATCAATTCCAATAACAGAAGTAGTAAAAAATGCAAACTAGTCTTTTTTCTAAATATTTACGATATAAAATGCTTATTCACTTTTTTATTTGGATACAGTTTTCGAGCCAGAGAGTCGTTTCAGATGTTATTAAAGAAAAAGAAATACAATTCAAATGACTTGCTGAAACAATTGAATACATTCACGATCATCTTTACCTTTTCTACATAAATCGTTAAAAACTATTTAATCTTTTTTTGCTTTCGAATTTTGTATCTTTAATCTATTTAACGTTCTTTTTCAAAATAAGAATTCAACGTTGGTTATTGATTAATTCCATCTAATTAAATACCACAACATCACTAACGAATTGATACTTGTTATTCATGTGATGGTGCTAATTGAATTAATATGTTTGTCATTCCGAAAAAGATTATATAAAAATGTTGCTCACGATCATTTATTCTTATTATTTTCACGAATTTTTTTTCCATTTTTTTTACAAACAATTTTCATATTTGAAAGTAATTACTTTAATTAATTCAATTGGATGAATTAAATTTGTAAAACATTAATAAAAATAAAAAGAGTTCTATTTTATCAACGTCATCTTTATTCAAATCGGTTTCGTCAAAACTAAAATATACAGTTGTAATTATTTACAATGTAAAGAAATTTTTAATCTTAATTTTAATTTCATTGTCGTTCAAGGATTGTTTGAAGAAATTTTCCAGCATAATTTCAGTTATTATTTGATTTAAGTGGTATAACTATGGTTTAGACAAAATCTTTATCAATACGTTGTAAACTACGCTGTAAGTCTATATTAGATAATCGTTCATTTCCATCTCTATTAAGTGTTTCGACTATTTCCTCAACTCCTTTAAAATTCTCATTTTATTATCCAGTCACTAAAAATAGAATGGTATGGAACGATTAAAAAAATTGGCATTTCGTTCTTTTGAACGAGAACATCCGTTTTTATAATGTTTTAAGTAGAAAACGAGTGAAGCTTTATTAAACTATTATTAAAATGTGTCTTCCTCTTGACAAATATGAAATGTGAAGTAAAACGTCCATCCATTTTTGACTGAAGTTTATGATCAGTTTTGAGTGCTAGTGTATACACAAATTTTAAATCGAGCGTTCCTGAGTTTTGTTTAATATTCATGTTCAAAGACTTAAGACATTTGCCGGCTTTGAACCAAACCAAGATTTCGCATTTGCATTAGTCTCCATGGCAAAATTGAAAATGACTTGCAAGATAGTGAATATGATCAAGAGACAAAAAAGATAAGATTATCCAACAAGTATATATATATGCGCAGTTATTTGAGACTAGACTGAAATTTTCAGCTTTGTTCTTAATCGCCACAGGTTTTGGAATGTGGATGATCATAAGAGTATAACGATCCATATACTAACGCACCTACACCCAACTGCGACGCAGTTCAATCGTAGTCGAACACATAAGATATCTATTTAAATCGAAAAATGAAGTATACTGAAAATTATTAATCATTGTATCATCTGAAAGAAATAGTCTCATATTTATGATAATTTAAGTTTTATTTTTTTCGGCATGAAATAAATGCAAAAATCTGTATTGGAACCTTCGTGATTTGTTAACGATCAATAATCGAACAGATATACACTGCAAATGTCTCAGTGTCAGTCATTGTCTATTTCTCAACGATTCCAACCATCTCAAATCATACTGAAGCAAATATCAATCTGTGTACTCCCTATGAAATAAATTTCGTTAAATAAATATATATTTTTTTCTTTTTTGTCATAACTCATCGTCCGCTGTTCCTATGAATCTTGTATTATTGCTTTGTGCACTCCGTCTCATATTGTATTTGTTTGAAAAGAATTTTTAAAAGAACGCAAAAAAGAAGGCAAACATAGACATCAGCGAGAGATCAATATGTGACACACTGCGAAAGTAATATATGAATCAATCAAAGAAAAAGCCGATTGTGTAAGACGCAAAAAACTCTATTGACAGTAATATATTATACTCATTTACCCAGAATATTTCGGCTTCAGTTACTTGATCGTGGTGAGTAAATTATCAAGAAGATTCGCGAAGCAAAAGAAATCATTTTTAATGCTAAATTTTTAGTGCCAAGACGCAACGAATATTAGAAACGATTAATACTAACGACATGACATTGACAACCATGATCGACTTTATGTAAGCTGATCAATTTATCGATGTATATCAGTTATCAGTCGTCGTCATTTCCTATTCCACAGCTGTCTCATTTTTATTTTATCTTTTCATTTATCTCAATTCTGTGATATTGTCTGTATATAATGATCTACTAGCTGATGCAAATGACTCACTACATCACTTCTAAGACGAATCCACTGATGCATTATGTTGAGGTCATTTTTGTAAATGGATCTATTAAGAAAATAATTGCACGGAAAAATTAAGGATTTCTTACAATATGATTATATAATATTTCCAACGTAGCCATTTCAGTTTTTTCTATTTTGTTGCTGCCACTTACTAGTGTCATCTTTATGACAGATAACCAAACTCGAAAAATAAGCCAAAAGAGTTGATGTGGCTAATACAGACGACTTAAGTGAACTCAAAAACAGCACGGTACTTGACTTCGATTCAATTTGAGCATTTTTGAAGAGCTGAAAATGCTCATGGACTTTTTTAGTATAAAATTCTGCATTGATTACAGATAGTGAGCACAGAGCGTCATCTATCGATTTCTCTACGAATGGCAAGCATAATATTTAGCATAAATTATTACTAATATTACGGTGATTCTATTTACATATAGATTTTATCATATGGCTCGTTTATAAAAAAAAATATTCACACAGTGCATTTAGAAACAATCACCAAAAGAAAAGCGCATTCATTTCATCAGTCCATAGATCACACCATGATTTGCTTGCCTCTTATTTTTTATTCCTACTCTATTTCATCAATTTCAGTTATTAAACAGATAAGAAACGACAATCTGTACCATGTAACTGCGAATACAATGACATCACTATAAAAACTACACAGACATAATTATAAACTTTGCGTGCGAGTAATAATGATAGTGGAAAAGTTTTCAGTCGTGAACTAATCTGCATTGATGAAAGTCAAAACCTGTCAGTCAGAGAGTGATATGTGCCAATAAAGACGAAAAATTTCCGACCATAGCAAAATCTGTAACAGTGAGGACAGAAAGCTTGTCTTCACTTATCGATGTAATGGAGTTAGAGGGACAACTTTTGCCACTTGCATTAGTATGAAGCATTAAGTGCTAATCACTTCAGCTCATAGAGCAATGAGTCAAGCTGTCAACGAAACAGCTTCGTGCCAATCAACAATGAGAGGAACTTAAATGAAAAAGCTTTGAACGGTATGTGATCATGCTTCGAAGTCAGAGTGTAAAATTTCGATCGTTTCACCATTTTGTTAGGGCGGTGATGAAAAACTCATGGTCACAGAGGAAATTCATATAAATAACTCAGAAAAGCTCTGAAGAATAGAGCAACTTGTCAGAGCCAAAATGAAAAGACTCTGCTCTCGCAAGCATGAGTGATAGTAACGACACAAAAGCCGCGGTCAATCGCTCCATTTAAAAGGATATTAACAACAAATTTCAAATGATATTGAAAGTCATGAGAATGATCACAACATATCTTAACTCACGTTGAGCTAATGAGATGGCCCGATAAAAACTCTCAGCCTATCTATCAATATGTCTAGGTTAGGATGAGCAGTATTAGATACCGCAAAATTATGTGCTAAAAAGAAATCAAATAACAGCAGGCCACTCATCGATTTCGTCAAAATGAGTTCGAGACGAAATATCGACTCGGACATATGGTGAACGTGTTTCGTCCATAGCAAACACTTATGGGCTGCATTTAGTGCAAAAGAGTTGGAAGTACTTTATCCCACTTCTTCATCTGCTGAAGTAATGGGACTTATTTTCCAATCATAAAGATGCCTATCGGGATACCTTGAAAAGTTTCAAGCATACGGCGACATGTAGAAAGTACCTTGAGAAAGATGAATGAGTGAGGAGAGCCGCAAACATTTGTAGCATATTTACTAAATGAATATAGGCGATCGAGAAAACATTACAATCACAGAGGAATTGGTGAGGCAATGATCAGAAAAGTTTGCAAACCGAATCATATATGAAATTACTAGCAAAAAGCTTCAAACATCAGGGAATGCCAATGAATGAGGACAAAGGCTTTGGTTTCACATAGGAAGTCCTGAAAACAAAAGCAAAAAGCTTCAGAAGCTTGTCATGTTCCAATATGCTCGTAAAAATCTTCCAGATATCGATTAATGTCTTGAAGCTACAGCAAAAACTTCCAAAGCACAGAGAAATTCGCATGGGAGACAGGAAAAAGTTTTAGAGAACCAATCAATTGGCCAGGTTAGTCGCGATACTATTCGTGATACAGAGCGATGTCTTTGGATGACAGCTAAAGCTTTCATGTCACAGGAAAATTCGTAACAGGAACAGAACAAAAGCTTCAGAAGCCTATTATTTGTGTATATAATAGCAAAACCTTCAGCATTTGAAGAATGTATATGAGTGAGAGCGAAAACTGTTTTAACACATAGGAATGCTTTAGAGGGAATGTGAGAATTTCATGGAACCGATCAATGTGTTAACTGTTAGAGAAAAGCTTCAAATTAGTTATTCTTGTCACTGAGAGACTGAGAAAAGTATTCGGTTTCACAGCAATCGGTGAGAGGAATAAAAAAAAGCCTCTAATGGATGCCATGGGGGCACGCAGCCTAAAAAAGCTTAACTCTCCGACGAATGTCTGCAAGTGAGGACGAAAACTTTTTCATCGCAGAAAAACATGTAGAAGCGATAGAGAAAATTCTGGAGAATCAATTGAGGCATCAGCAGTCCAGAAACGCTTTGGGCTTCTGATCCATCCTTTTGGATGATGGCGGAAACTCTCATATCTCAAAAAAATGTGAGAAGAAAAGCAATAAGCTTCAAAAAGGCAGCTATCGCTGTCATGTGAGTATGGGCGTATAAAAAAGTTCTCATCCATAACCATTGGCGTATCTATGCCAACTCACTTCTGACCTTCACGCTCAGAGATAAAAACACTACACCAACACCCACAATCTGCACGATATAAATTCTTTCGATCCCTCTCCGACAGTTAATTAGAAAAGAAGAATAGATAGAAACGTCACTAAAGTTACCAAATGATGATGGCTACTGTATGTCTTATTGTCGTCAATCATCATAACCAATCACTTGAGAAGACCTGTCAGGATGAAGATAATATAGGGAGATTTTGATATCTTTTATTGAAACGAAAAGTACAAGAAGACTTTTTTCTTATTTATTTTTCGTTCAATTGAATGCATATAAATAAAGATAGTTCTTTTTAACAATAAGAAAAATATTTCGAGTAAGAAACATGCAGTATTTCGTTGCTTTACTCTGTTGTTTTTCAAAGAAAACAAAAGTAGTAAAGCATTATGCGTGATCTTCAAAACTGATACTTTTCGAAAAATATAACATGAAATTTATTCTTGGCTTTTTACTTACAACAATTAGAATCCTATATTCTTTTGTTTGAAACTAATGGAAATTATATGGTATTATTATTAATTATAATGATAACAGTTTTTAGTTGAAACACTAAGCTATTACACTCATTAATCATGATGATCAATTTGTACCAAAGTCTTGCAAACGTTTTTTAATAGATAAAAAACTCAAAGTAAATCGTTCGTCATAATACTAATGCTTGAACAAGCATTTCATTTTCTAGCTAAGCCAATAGACTTATTTCTATTCATTGTTCTCTATATGTATTTGAGAACACAGTTGTGTAATACCTGTAAAACTCATACCATCCAGTGTTCAATGAGTTTTGCTAAAAAAATTGTAATAGGAAAAAGGTTGCCTCTTCTGAAGTTCTCAGCGAATCTCACCATTCATCTATTGAAATATAAAGAACATGAAATTCCGAAAAAGGTTTTGGCAGAAATATTTATTTTTTAATGAAATTTATTTTAAAAAAATCAATAGAAAGTTAGACAACGAAGTATTAGAACATAATAAAATAGTGTGCATCCAGTATAGAACAAATCTTTATCATAGTTACAAATCAATGTAGAAATTTAAAATTACTTTGGTAGTATAATCAGAAAATATCTTCATATGAATATTGAAATCAATTGAACATATTTAAAATCTTTAAACATACATAAGATCGAATAAATCAATATGGTGAAAGTTAGTATTATAAAGCGACAAAAAAGATCGACGTTGACAAAAATATTACCACATATTACAATTATCGTTAATTAATTTTCAGATATTTGTCATTTTTAATACTTCACGAAAACTTTTCTTTCTGTTGAAAATGACCACACGTAGTGGAGAAGAAGCGATAGCGCAGAGTATGTCACGCATTATAGACACTGTTCAAGAGCCGCTTGAATTTATGGCACCCATTGGTGGCTATGAAGAAATGCCACTTGTATCACTTGAAGAAGCTGTCGAACCACTTGTTTCTATTCTACCAGCTGTGCAAAGTCACGCATATGTGGCCAAACAAAGATGTAAGAATCCTGTCGATGAATTGACGCAAGATGAATCTGCCTCAATTATGCTATATACAATGAGTTGGAAACCACTGGATAAATGCTTATATTTCGCTTTGAATGATACATTACGATCACCAGATCGACAACAAAAGCTCGAGCCATGGTTTTTATTTTTGAGGCTCTTTCTTAGTGCACTCTATCGTCTTCCACCGCTTTCTAAAACTGTATACAGAGGTGTTAAATTAGATCTGAGCAAGTGCTACATCAAAGGAGAAACAATCGTCTGGTGGGGTTTCTCATCGTGCACAACAGCTATTGGTGTTCTACAGTCGGAGCTATTTTTGGGAATGACGAATACCAGAACAATGTTTGCCTTACAATGTCAATCAGCTAGAGACATTCGCAAACATTCGTATTATCCAGCTGAAGACGAAGTACTTCTGATGGCTGCAACTCAGTTCAAAGTAGTCAGTTGTCTTAAGCGAGGTAGTCTTGAAATTATTCAACTGGAAGAAATTCGTCCACCGTTTCCACTTCTGCAACCAGTACCAGTTATTGTCTCCCCACTGACCAATCCAACTTCCTTAGGTAATTGAAAATCAAAAGAAAAGAATATTTCAGTTGATTAATAACGCTCTAACTTTCGATACCACAAAGAAAATCAAAAATCATATGTATATCCCTCAAACAAAATACGTAACATATAAATATGAAAACAAAGAACCGATTCACTACTCATCTAAAAAGGCTGTTAAAATTTAAATTGAGACCGATTCAGTTCAATAGACCAGAAAAATAATTGATTCCATATGACAATGTTTCCTCAAGTTCAATGGAATATTTGATTTCGAACCAAGATTTTCACAAAAAACAATCGGTTTTGTCTTATGCAGTCTAAATAACCGATTGATAACCTGATTAATTTCAATCACTTTTTAAAGTCATCTATTGAACTCTGTTTTCTAAAACGATGAAAATCTCTTAAATCGTTTTAGTCTCTTGAAGTTGATTACAAAAACCATAACCTTCTGAAATATTTTCTATAGGATATACTTCGTTTTCTCATTCTAAAATTATTATTTTTTTCCTTTTTCCTTTTTATGATTGATAGGTTGATGCAGTGGTGATCCTCACGGGTTAGAGCAGCGGAAGCGGGAGAGCTTTGCCCGAAATCGGAGAAACGTGTACTCAAACGCAATAGTGCTACGATGCTGTCGAAATTGAGTGAGCGTAATGCAAATTTTTTTCTTCAGCTAGAAATTAACAAGAATGCCTGTGGTGACGATCGACTTCTACATAATGATTACACTTCCATATAAGTTAATAAACCCACACAAATCTCGAAAACATCTGCTATGTAGCAAACAGCTGTGTAGGCTCGTGAAAATTCTATCGCATCGTTTAGCTGTTTTTACTAGGAACGTTTTTGCATTCATGTCAGAAAAGCTTCTCGATCGTTTTTACCACCGAAGGTGGATACATTCGCGACAACTGTTGACCATAAGGATGAGAACGCGAGGATCGGTGAAGAGTAGATCTGACACCTTCAAATCAAGCATCTACACGCTCAGTGACTTGCACTCTCATGCTTTTCATTCACAAATATACCTCATTCTGAAACAAACCTTCTTTTTCTTTCTTTGCTGCCGGTGACACTTGTCTCTACTTCGAATAAGTCACCAAATAGTAAAAGGATTTCGAATTTCTATGAAAATGTCACAAAGCAAGCTATTAAGAATCGAATAATTGTCTTGGATTGCAGGTACTTCGACAACAACTGGTGTTGATGTAATTGAAGCAAACAAAGAGACACACTCCAGCAAAGTTCAAGTAATTTAAACCATTTCTTAGAACCAATTTTTTTGTTCGTACCTATCTCTTTTCGTTTAAAGAGTAATACAATTCCAACAGTCACTGCTAGTACCGTAAATACTGGAATCAATTTTATCACTAGCAAAGTTAGACAATAATCATTCTAGAAAATGAATATTCATTGAATATCTCATACTTTTAGATATCTGCCGTTACAATCAATGCTACAGCACATAAAGGTAGAATATTGTTGATTATTGCTTGAAAAGTGACCATTATGAATGATAGTGAACGTTTTGTGAATAAAATCACTGTCATCCCTCAGCAGTACTGATATCATCATTCAGTAGTAAATAAGGTGTTTGTTGTTATTTTTTTCTCTCTGAACGACACCAATGTAGGTGTAATCATTTTCTCATCGAAAGGTGACTGTACATATGAGAGTTGTTCGAGAGTAACGACTAACAGAGTGCTCTTGGCACTAACTCAGTTTAGAAACATTTTTTTCTTTTCTTATTGGATAGAAAACTATCATGGTTACATAATGGTCAACTTTTCTCAAAACCATATAAACAGAACAAGTGTCGTTAATTATACTAACGTTTTGGATTGTGCAGTGAATGAGTATAGAAAGGAAGAATGTATGATAAGAAATAATCTTGCGAAAATCAATAGAGTACGCCATCTAATTAGTGTTTTGGTTAAGATAAGCTACATTCACATGTCATATGGAGAACTGCATATATTTTTGCCTTACTGGTTAGAATCAATCAGGTCTATTGCCTATTTAACCTGATTTCATTCAGATTTTAGCGAGCGTAAACATTTATATGATAAGCAATTCAAATATCTGTATAAATTTAGAATAAGAAAAGAAGAAGAACCCATCAAAAATTTGTTTGAATCCCTTTTTTCGATATATTTTTTTTAATAATGCTTTCCCCTGAATTTTTACAAGTTTTTGCCTACGTACGGTTTCGTGAGTTTCATAGTTTTCTCTGCTTTAATGAGCTCCTAGACTCTTTTTGATATGCTTGGAATCTTTAAGCTTCTTCGTTGCAGAGTTCGTAGAATATTAGAGACTTTCTGATTTCTGACAAAAAAAGTAAATCTGGTAGATTCATAGAATTTTTGTTTGCAACATTAAATGTGATAAGAAAGAATTACAAGAAAGTTCACAGAAAATTGCAATTCAACACATGGTACGAAAAATACTTTTAACAAATGACATTTTCTGCAATTTTAAAGTGATGTGACCTAATATCCTGTACTCCTGATGTGAAAAAATTTCTTCAGAATTTGTAGAAAACCCGAGAAAAGTCACGCAAAGATCATCAATGAATCCTTGTATTTTCCTTCAAAACAGTTATAGTGAAGACTCCGATAACAGATATGTATCAAGTATCAGAGATCCTCATGAAATGTTCTCGAAGATATTCAATGAAGGGTGCTACCAAACATCGTTAATTCTTAGCTGCCCAGCCAAGCTAAACCTCTTGAAAAACCCATTTAATTTGCACTAAAAGTTCTTTAGCACAGTGTTTTTATTCATTTGCGCAGAAAATTCGACGAGTTTTACTGCGTTCAAAGGCAGCAACGTGTATCAACGCTGAGAGATCAGTCAAGAAAACATATGTTTATGCATATTTTCTTGAATGCGTTTCGGTGTTCAAGAATAACTCGCTATTTTCCATTTTGTTAAAACAATCGTACTCGTTCAAACGGATTCATCTCTTGAGACTCGCAGCAACGGATGAGCTTTAGTCCAATTGCTAGAGATCGACACGGTGTCGGTTAGTAAGAACGAGAAGCTTCGAATTTTGCCTCATAAAAAGTATTCTAGGAACTGACGACTATATAAGAGTAAGCCAGATAACTGATATAATAATTTTTTTACTGGAAGTTTCTAAGTTATATTTATTTCTTCGAAACATAACACAGCAAAGAGAAAGAATGAGAAAATCATGATTGTTAATTGTTTGTATAGTGTTTTTCGTTAATAAAGACAATCATATTAAGTGGTCCGTCTAGTTACAAATAACAAGAAATTTCATCTTTATATTTCGTTCTGAACGGGAGCTAGGGCAATATTAGTGTATATATGACACTCATTTTTTGTGCCTACCACATATCAAATGGTATTCTTTTATTTCATAGAAGGCACCAGGATCTAGTAACTGTTGTAACTCTTTTTTTTTAATTTTCTTCTTTCGCTGGTCTTGGTGCATAGATGGAGTCAATAAAATCTTCACGATACCTGAGAAATTTTATAAAAAATTTATTTTTCAAATAAAAACAAAAATATTTGAATGTACTTCTTACTGTAATAAGACACCACTGTAAATACGTCATCGAACAACCACTGTAAGAAATACCATCATTTTTTTCGGCATAAGCAACTTTTCTTAATGAGAACTAGTCGTTTATGGCGAAAAATCTGGCTTTTAGCAGGAGCATGGTTCACAGTCCTAATTATTATGAAGGTACACATTTGAGTAGATAGCCATTGATTTTCTGAAAAAGTGATTTTTTGACGACCATCGATCTTTTAGGAACTTAATGTAGATTAATCTCTCAGAGTTTAGATTATGCAATAATACAGAAATCTTTAGGTTGCTTTCTACATCTGCTGGTTTCTCTCAGACTAGATGAATAAATAGATTATGCATAAAAGCGGAGAGAGTCATATGACTTCCTAACTGTTCATCTCGTAAGGAGCGGTAAGAAAATTTTTACAACACATTCCAGATAAAATTTCCCTGTCAGAGACACAAATGAAAATATAAATTTTATGATGAACGTATTGAGCTTGAAAAGAAACGCATTTTTATGAGTTTCTTTTTGTTCGATCTCCAGTGGCAGTGTGCTTTAAGGCGCCATAAGCCCTTATCTCTTTAGCATAATGTTGTATATAGACTACTTTAAGTTTGTAAAAACATTATTTTAGCAGGCAAAGCTTTATTTACATGTTAGAACGTATATTGTTTTCGCGTTTTTTTCGTCAACTCTATTTTGTTCATCTACTTATTAATGACGTAGTATTTTGAATGAAGGCAAATACAAGTTTGTAGAGAATTGAATTGTGCATCTTTGAAAAACAAATTCAAAATTTTGTCTTTTCTCTAAATTGAGATATATGTAAAATACACAATGCTGCAAAACGTCTGTGACACGCAGCAGAGTCTTAATACAATGGTGTGAAAGTAATTTTTACGAAAACTGAATAATAAAGGTTGTTTCAAAAGCTTTGACCCCTCTCTCAGTAAGTCTATGAATATCTACGACAAATCTATATGTAGTAAATAGATCGAAACATAGTTTTGCAGAGGAGGATTAAAGTTATCATCTGAAATAAGATACTTCGAAATGCATAAATGTAGTCCAATATTATGGTCATGCTACTAATCTTGAGTGAATAATTCTATCTTACATTTTTCAAGAAAATTTTTAAAAGAAATTTTTTTTATAAACGATCTAACTTTATGATTTATAAGTTTGTAAGACTAACTTTTTTGTATAAATATCAATAATAAAATCTGATGATGCTTTGACCTTGTTGTTAGTCGATTTCTTTAAATCGCTGTTGAATACTCTTAATCATTTGCTTACATTTTTCTATGCCAAAAATTTTCCATATTTTAATAATTTTTTGTTTTAGCATCATGTAATGAATTCAATTTATATTTATTTGTATCTCGTCAAATGATACCTCGCAAGTTTTCTGATGGATACATATAAAGAGTTGTTAAAATAAAACTTTCACGACTGTCGGAAACATAAATTCAAGCAACTAGCATATTAGCGAACAAACTAGAAACAATAAAACTTCATAAAATAAGTCTCAATATGAAACCCCTTAACAATATGATTAATGCTATAGAACTACAATCATAATCAGCAAATCTGATGAACATTATAACACTAAAGTGATTAGTCTTATATGAAATTCATGCTGGAAAAACACGAAGCTATTATGGAAAAAACAAGTTTTTAAAATTTTTCTCAAAAAATGTAAGACGAAATTATTCACTCAAGATTAGTAACATGACCATAATATTGGATCACATTTATGTATTTCGAAGTGTGATTTTTCAGATGATAGCTCTAATCTTCCTTCACAAAAATTATATATTTCGATCTGTTAACTATATACAGGTTTGGCATAGATATCGTTGATTTACTGAGAGGAGTCGAAACTTTTGAATCACCCTTTATTACTTGAACACAAATCCTTCAAGAATTTAAGTCTGCTAGTACCGTTTATGATATTTATCGGTAAAATTCTGCATTAGAAACTATGAATAACATCCTCATATCTCTATGTTTTTCAATCGATAGGTAGCATACTATTAGCATTAGACTTCTCAGTAGTTTCAAGAATGCTAACTCCCGCAGTAACCTTCTTACTATATTCTCAAAAACTTCAAGATATTTTCTTGTCCTCAATAGAAAACCTCCCTCTTCAAAGATCTGCGTAAAATCTTGTCACATTTCCTCAGATTTGCACGCATAAATATCGTATAAACTACGAATAAAATCCTTTGATTCTTATGTTTTTCCATGGAGAGCTTACATAGGAATAGCACTAGTCTTCTCAGTATTTCACAAATGCTTGTTCTGGAAAAATTCTTTCTAGGAATCTCAAAGACCTTAACAAAAACTTAAACAAGTTTCTGCAAACACGGTTTTCCAATTTATATCTATGGGGGAGAACTTTTTGCTTGTTCAGAGTGGGGTAGGGAAGGACAGTCGCGAATGTTTTATTAAGTTTCCTTCGAAGAAGAAGAATGTCTTATTTGTAGACGACAACGATGGTGATTTCTTTTCTGATTGTCGTCTGTTGTAGTAATTCCCAATATTCCAGTCAACGCTCAATGGGCACAGAATGGAATGACCGTTGTTGGAGGTCATGGACAAGGCAATGCCACGAATAAACTCAAACATCCTTATGGTCTCTTTGTTGATGATGATCAAACGATGGTCATTGCTGACTACCGGAATCATCGTATCATCCAATGGAAGACGAGCAATACGAATGGACAAGTAGTAGCCGGTGGTCATGGCCGTGGAGGTCGATTAGATCAATTAGATCGGCCAACCGATGTGTTGATCGACAAAGAGACGAATAATCTCATTATCTGTGATAATGGACGAGCTGTTCAATGGTCTCGTCGTAGTGGCACAACTGAAATAGAAATCCTCCTCGACAACATCGATCCTTTCGGATTGGCCATGGATGATCAAAGATATCTCTACATCTCTGACACCGACAAACATGAAGTAAGACGGTATCAAATAGGAGACAAGAGTGGAACTATCGTGGCTGGTGGCAATAGCAAAGGTGATGGTCTCAATCAACTCAACTATCCACACTACATATTTGTTGATCGACATCAGACTGTCTACGTGTCGGACTTCGGAAATCATCGTGTGATGAAATGGAATAAAGATGCACAAGAAGGAATTGTCGTTGCTGGAGGTCAAGGCGAAGGAAATGCTCTAACACAATTGTCACATCCTCAAGGGCTGCTCGTCGATATGTTGGGCACCCTGTATATAGCAGACTCATTTAATCATCGAGTGATGCGTTGGCCTAAAGGAGCGAAACAGGGTACTGTTATTGTGGGTGGAAATGATCAAGGACAAGGAGCAAATCAGTTGAGTTGGCCCATAGGCTTGTCATTCGATCGTCAAGGCAGCCTCTATGTCGTTGATTGCGAGAATCATCGAGTTCAACGCTTCTCTATCGAATAGACTCATTACCATGGTTTATGTTTTTTATTTCTATCGCATAAATCACGATGAACGAATTTCTTTCCTATTCATGAACAAAAACCATCTGGGAGGTATCGTCGCAGCGTGAGTGTCACGGATATCAGGAGGATTCATGACCGAGCATTTAGGGATTACTCACATGTGTGTTAAAACAGGGGCTAACCTTAATGGACAAAACTCACCTACCTCTCATTATATTCTCATCTCAAAACAAAAATAAAGAGTACTCACTATGGTTGGTGTTGGACGTTGACACGATGCGGTGATGTTGATTACTAACAGCAACGAAAAAAAAGTAATAAGTAATATGTATACAAAAGAAAAAAGAGAACTTACCCCACTGTTATCTTTTTGGTCACTTTAAATACCTAAAATGAACAAGAAACATTAGAAAAAAGATCAAAAGAGGACTTAACACACTAAATATTATTCAAGATAAAACAAATTAAAAAATAAAAGTTGATGCCAACATTTTATTTTATTATCTTGTTTGCTGTTGAATGATAGGTATGACTGCGTGAGAGTGTGAATTGTTATGCTGTTTTGACAATTTACACCCGCACTCGCACATATACAAACTGACTATTCTAACAACCACTCCTTTTTCTTCTTCTAACAGAAACTTGTATAAACATGTTACATTCCACAACTCAAGATGTACTAAATGTATGCCACGAATAATTGATATCCAGATAATATATGATATCAAAATCTTCATGTTCAGCAAGTCATATGTTTTAATTGATTGGACATTTTTCAAGAGAAATATAATTTTGCATCAAATTATCA